AAGGTTGGCATGTATAAAACAGACCACATATATTGCAACTCAAATGTAAACAAAATGTAGAGAAATAAAGAACACATGTCTAAAACATATTTTCTTGACCCTATCCTCCTGCAAATGTGCTTTATTTCCTGCTCTCAGTTCAATCCATCACAATCCACAACCATCTTTAGTTCTTTTATCTAATACCTAGTCCCCATATTGTGGTCAGTTTATATACAGAAAACAAAGATTAGAGGGGTCTTTTAATATTGCCTCTTAAAAAGATGTTTGCAGAGATTAAGTTTCTAAGTTGCTAAATAATATCTTCTTTTGTTTCCTATCACATTAAAAGCCGCTTTAAAAAAGAAAGGTAGACGAGGGTCAAGTAATGCCTCATAAGAGAAAGGAGTTATTTTCAAATTGAAATAGTTTATAGTAGCACATTTCATGTTTAAATTTCAGCACAGTTCTGAGAAAATCTGACGAGGGCTTAAAGAATTGCATCATAGTATTACTAATAACCATGGCACGGTGAGTGGGCATAACCACAAGCAAGAGAGACAAAGCTATCTGAGTGTATGTCAAAGCATCACCTAAATTACACTATCAGCCTGACTGCTTGACTGGGTCAGAAAGAAAAGCCATGCTGGGCACAGAGCTCAAAATGTGAGGGTGGGACTCAGATCCCCCAGAGGGGGGCTGTGCAGGCCGGGAAGTGAGGGGGCAGAGGTGAGTGCTGAGTATGACTCAACACAAGGTAGTCTCAGGTGCTAGCCCAGAGGGTGATTCCAAAACAATAATGATGGAAAGAATAATCTGGAAGTCACACTTCCCACCCCCCACCCCCGCAACAACAAAATGACCAATAACACTAAAGTTAAAGAAGGTCTTTGTAGGAACAGCTGAATCAAAGCCAAGCCAGGGGTTCAATACTTTGGTGTTTATGAAATGACCTTCGGCGTATGTTTTCTTCTTTCAAGCTGGAAGATATTAAGAGGGGGGTAGTAATGACAGGCGCCATGTTTTTTAAGAGTATTTGTAGAGAAAAACTAAGATGATGTGTCTAGTTTCAGGGAGAAACAGTTTAAAGTTGGCTTCTTTAATGGACAACTCTAGCTTTCTCTTTTATTTTATAGGAACAAGGAACACTTGGGTTTCCTAGGCAGCAGGTTCTGCTCTTGGCCCTACCACTAGAAACTTGCTATGTATCGCCTTGGACCAGTCAGAACCTCCCCAGACTGCAGATCCTTCCTCCTCCCTAATGTAACTTGGGAGAATCACAACCAACCATTGGGTCAATAGCTTAAAAAACGAATCCTTTCTTTAGCTCTGCAGAAGGTCTCCTTCATTCAGATCTCTGATCAAATGTGACTCCCTCGATTTCCCTAAATACCCTATATAAAATAATACACTTCTATCTCAATCGTTTACTTGATTATTCTGCTTCATGTCTGTCACCAGTCTCCATCTCTACATGAAACTGTGAATTCACCCACCCACTTCTTTATTGCCATGATTCCCAGCAGAAAATGTTCTGTAAAGACTCTGAGTACTCTTGTGCCTAGACCAGTGATTGCTACATAGCAGTGCTCCATAGTATCTGATAAATTAAAATTAGTTGTCATGGGATCTTAAAATATGACAAAGAATGCCATACACCTGGGACAAAATATTCTAGGCTGAGGTTACATTGGCCAATCCTGAAGATTACAGTTACCCAAATGACTATTCCCCCTGCATGGGAACAAACTCCATGTCTCACCTCCAATGCTTTTGTTCTCCATTTGTCATTTAAATATAATGGCATGTTTATATTTTTCTATTAATAGATTATCTAATGTACGACATGGTCCAAACTAGAAATCCCTCCCATTTGAAGCTCCAGGTTATATAGGAACAGAAAATTTAGTCCCTCCAGAATGAATTTCTTTAAACCACAGGTCACAGGCAGATTTAAGGAGTCTTGATTAGTCTACAAGGGCTGACTACCTAAGTAGAGGCAGGATAGGGGTGAAAAGCTACCAGAAGCAAAGGCTTGGCAAATGCACGGTATAGCTACTGGTAAAGCATTCAGTTCTTCTGTCATGAACAACACTCTTGGGCTTCTGTGACAACCACAGAACTTGCCAGTATCTTTCGGCAATTTGTCGTAGAACCATTGGATTTTAGAGTTGACTGGATCTTAGAAATTCACCCCCCCCATACCCTCAATTTACGAATGAGGAAATAGAGGCCAAGAGAGGTTAAGTGACTTCCCAAGGGTCATAGAATTAATGAGTTGACAGGGTGCAGAGACCCAGACCTCGTGATCTCCACACCAGAATGAGTGTCAGAAAAGCCCAAAAAACTCTACAAGTATATCATCAGAAATAAAAGGAAAAGGAAAATCCAGAAGAAAAGGCTGGGAAGGAACAGAGTGACTTCAAGTATAAATCAGTCCATGACTTAAGGTATTGCCAGGTATACTCTTTTTTGGAAAAGCAGATAAGCAAGCAATACTTAAGAAAAAAAATAAGCTAAAAGATTATACTGGTTTTTACCTTGTAGCCATTTGTTGTCTCATTTTTAATAGATTTCAGTGTAATATCTTATACACTTAGTGACTATTCCATTTCACTGACCTCTAACTCATGCCTTCCAGTAATCAAAAGCAGCTGACTTTAATGTGCCAGCGCTTTAGTGTGAAGGAGGTTAAGGCTGCATTTGTGTGCAATCAGGTTAAGATTGGCTCCAACAGGAGAGAAATCCATACATGTGTTGAAAAGATCTGAAAAATGCCTGTATTCCCAACCTGATTACGACTACATTTTTGCATGGTTTGTCAAAGCAGATCACTGAAATCAAGTCAAGATGTAAAATGGGATAAAGTGGTTTTCTTCTCCATTCTTCCATTAATCACCATGACCTATGGAAGAAAGGAAATTTTCCCTCTCTCACCTGAGGCAAGGTGGGATACTCTGCTGAAAGTTATGCCAATTTTATCAACTGGTGCTCAAATTGCAAAATTTTTTTTTACTTCTCATTTCCTACATTTGTAAATAGAAGCTTTTTATTTTTTAATTGGAGAGTAACTTTCCATTTCTATCAACAATTCTATTTTAGTTTTCCTTTTACAAAACATAGAACAAGTTCTGATTCAACTTTCTGAACTTACTAAACTTAAAGGTCATATAAAAATTCAATTTATTCAACTGAGAATGTCGAAACAGGGATTAGAGTGATAGCTGCTCTCTCTCGCCTAATATTTGGTACAACCTAAATATGAACTAAATCAGAGTTCATTACTGGTTCACTTTTCAAAAACATTATTAGCAGATGACACACAAACATTTGTTTTGGCATAATTTCAACTGCTGATTGTGTCAGGTTATATTCTGTGAAGACAGTATACTGTTGCTAGAAGCAAAAAAAAAAAAAATACACACACACACACACAAATTCAATAAACATCATAGGTTAACAATGTTGCTGTTATCTACAAAATTTTCAAGCAAGACTGGGGCTAGGTCAAAATAATTTTGGAGAGGAGGGGAACATGCTGGTTCTTGTTACACATAAGCATGTTCATTATAGGAGCATTTTCAGGTTAATTTTTGTTATTAACGTAAACCACAATTGGGGGACCACATTGCTGGAAGAGGAATGGTGGGGGGTAGTTACATAAACAATATACAACAAAGAAAGTCTTTCTTTCCAATACCTGAATACATCAGGTTTGTTTTTAGGCACAAGGTTGCAGGTTAAATGCTCTCAGCTATCCAAGAAGTGGCTTATTAGTTTTGTAAGAAAATATTTTCTTTTATTTTGACTGAAAAATACTCAGTTTAACTGAACAAAACCATCCTTGTTAGTGAAAAGCAAACCCAAAAAAACTTTGTTTCAAAGACCCAGCAAAGAAAAGCAAAACTAATTCAAGAGGAAAAGCTGCCTTCCTAATAGTAGCTTCTGAATCTGGATCTAATAGTTCTCAAAAGCCGACCAGAGTCTTCGAGTCTTCAAAGTTTTGTCCTCCATGGGCCATAGACATCCCTAGGTGGAAGCATACTAGGGATATAAAACCCATTTGAGCAGATATATATTCTCTTTCTGGGCTACAGCCCCAGAGCTGGAAAGCAATGCACCAACAGCGAGAATGAAGGCAAAACAAATGTTTTGATTATTTTCAAGGGCGATTTTCCAAACACCACTTTCTTTTTTGCTTTTCTATTTTGCACACTAGAAGAACCCCCACTTCATCTCTGGCAATGTAGCATTTGCTAGTGTGAAAACGGGAACAAGAGATTATGTTCTCAGAACCAAAGCAACAATGCTAAAAACTGCATTTCCCTGTACTAACTGGGCTCCCTCCAGCACCTAAGCTTCTCCTAATTTGTAAATGGGCCGAATCCTGTTATTACAGAATAATTACAGCAAATCAGCACAATTACTACAAAGACATGAATAAACACACACATACCAGTAGCTGTTTTCTACAAATTATTATCCAAACAAAGGGAACCGGTTAATTATGGTAACATTAAGACAACATTTATTCTTCCCAGTGTTTGGGCAAGTTTATTTTAAGTTGTCATCTTCAACTAGTAACGATGCAGATGATTTTACAGATTTCATAAACCTTTCTAATCTAAACTCTTCTCAGCTGAAAGTTGGCCACTTCCCTCAGAGTGACATCTGCAAAGGCCTGATTTTCCCGCTTTTACGGTCCATCAGCAACACACACACACACACACACACACACACACACACACACACACTCTCTCTCTCTCCCCCTCCCCGCCCCTAGAAATCTCACTTTAGTAAGCTCATTTGTCACGCACTCTTCTAAATCATTTTGAGGCATTGTGGAAATGAAATACTCACTTTATATTCTTCACAATTTAAGCACTTGTCTTCTAAGTGAGTATAGTGGGACATTTTCCCCCGTCTCCGATGTTATTACCAAGTTTCCTTTGTGCTGCTCTGGGGGGAGGAGAACTCAGAAAGCACACAGCCCACGCAGGACAGGAATTCTCTAAACTCACCTCCTGGACAATGCCTCAGGGCCATCTTACACCTCCTGGATTCGGCAATGGTTGGACACGGTATCGTATCCTTTGCTGGCTTTTTAACAATTTGCCGTGTTCTGGTTTCCAGACCCCATTTAAATCCACATGTGCGATTATTTCTGCTACAAGTTCCCCATTCACTCCAATGACCAACTTCACATCCTTCTAATAGAGAAAAAAAAGCAAAAAAACAAAAAACACAGATAACGATTTGGTATCCATTTGCTCCGCTACCATCAAATTATATAGCTGGTTTCTACACAAACCCCCTTCAGATAAATTCAGTTGTACGGCCCACAAAGATCTGTATTCCCCTTTTGGATGCTTCAATTTTTTGAACCATAGGGTTACTTTCAGCTATAAGAAGCAACTACCACATAAGTAATTTAAAAACTATTACTTTGAATCTTAGTTCATTTTTTGAAGAACTATTAGTTCATTCTAAAGACACAGAAATACATACTCTTTAAAAGAGTCAACAGCTAAAATCTACAGAAGATCCTCTTTTCAAACCAGGACAGAAGACAAAATATTACATGTTAATTCTGGATGCCCCCATAGTAATTCGCAAGTATGTTAGTTTTATTTGGGAAGTCAGTAGTTTCTGAAAAGGACAGGGATTTTATTTTGCATTTTCTGGTTATCTGAATTCTTTTAACAGGTATCTAAAAACCACAGTATGTATTTCTTACTTCCTAAACTGGTGCTCTATCTCATATAATTGGGAACAGTCAGATATTTAAAAATGTTTGTTTATACGTAAAAGCTTTCAGCATCCCCTTTTGTAAATTCATAAACTAGAAATGTCAGCTACTGTCCAAACCCCTGGATTGACGGATAAAAGGATAAAAATACGTAAAGTTAAACCTCCTCACCAAATTCACCATTAAAATGCCCCTTCGAACTAGCAGATTAAGGACCCGGGCCTGGAGTCCACACACAGTATTTTAACATTTCAGATCTCAGCAGGCATCGTGGTTACTCTGAGATTTTTCAAAGCTGTTTAAGATTTTTATTTAGGGAAGTGCATAGGACTCTATTTGTAATTTTTTATATTTAAGGATTTCGTAAGAGTTTCCACTTAACATGTGTAACGGGTGTGAGTCTTGTCTCTCAAGAGCAAATCCAACATTCTGAATATCCTGTTCTAGTGACTTTTTTAATAGTGTGTCACCTGTACGAATGTATGAACCCACACATAAACAGGAACATAAGTACACATTTCTTCAAAAACCTGTTATTTAAATGTGTTCTCTGCAAACCTTCAAATATATAATTACAGACTCTTTCAACAGTATTTCTGCAGAAAAGAAGTTCTTATTTTTTTTTAAGTCTCCATTTTAAGGGGATGGAAAGTCTCACTTATAATACATAATTCTGTTATAGATCATATCAGATGTATAATATGTCAAATAAAATTTGCGAGTGGGGGTGCAAGTGGGTGTGGGGACAATGCCATTATACCTGAAGATTAGAGTCACTCGATTAGGCATTCACCAAAGTGTAGGCACTATAGATCTTTACCTTTTCATCAGCTGTATAAAAATGTCAGTGTTTTTCCAACACTCTGAAAGTATAAAACTTATAAAATGTGTACTCCTAATTATTCATGAACAGGGTGTAGGTGTATATTAAGTTATGCATTCTAGATATCTAAATTTAGTAAAAGTAACATTGTTTTAATGTACTTTTGCAACATGCAATCATCAACAAAATCCATTTTGCACAAAACATTTCTTCCCAGTTTTTTTTTAAATTTTTTTTTTCTAAACAAGAAACTCTATAATTAATCTACAGAACCAAAGTGACAGAACAGATGACTACATGGTGCTACTTGAAAATTATTTTTCTTTTACACAAAATGTTTTTCTCTAACAGTTATTAATAATTTAAGGTAAGAAATACAGGAGTTACAGATGATAAAACCATACCAGCACTTCAACAGTTGAACTAGCTAACACACAACTAGCAAATTTTATAGTAAGATTTAGCAGGAGACTACCCATGTCTTGATGCCTAAAAAATTCAGCAAGTCAGCAAAGACCTTAAGTAACAGTCAGTTCTAATTAACAACAAGAGAACCAATTTGTTTTTGAGTTGAATATATCCAGCATGCATTATTTTTCAAGAATCAGGTGTTAAAAGTCTAAAAGTTACACGAAAACTACTCACCCACACATTCCATGGATTCATCTAATGGTGCAAAACCATCTGGACATTCATCAAAGCAGCGGCCTCTATGCAAATAAAAGCCAACTTTGCACTTGGTACAAAAGTCTTTGCTAAAGCAAGAATCACAGTTTTCTATTCTGCATCCTAAAAAACAATTTTAAAGAGAAAAAGAAAATTTCAGTCAAGTGAAATTGACTGTTTTGCAAATAACACTCACAAACTTACCAGTTAGCTCCATCGAAATTCTAGTGGTCAGAGAAATATGTGTTCAACTCATTTGTTTTCTAATGCCATCGCATTCTTAATCACTCCTACCTCTTCCAACAGCTCAACACATCAATGGGCTAAGACAGCATTCCAGCCTAGGGCCCTAGACAGCATAAGACCCTTCAGAAAATTCTGCAACTCCAAATGAGATTAAAACAAAGGATGGAAAAGAAAAAGAAAACATGCCCACTACAAATTGCATTGCTGCTAGGACTGAAATCTGTTCTACTCTTCAAAAGACCTACAGTGAAAAACAACGTGAACACGCTAACCAGTATCTTCTGTTTTGGGACAGTAAATTAAAATTCTGTTTAATGCTGGTCAGTGCTGGCATTTACTTCTAGCAGAAGGTATCTTAACTTGGAAGGGTAGTGTGGGTCACTAGTTTGCAAACCTACAACATGCCAAAGGCTTCACATTTCCCTTTAGTCTTTATAATAATCCTACAAGGTGGGCAGTAGTAATCCTATTTTGCAAAAAAGGAACCTGAGATTAAGAGAAGTCACATAGCTAATAGTGGCTGAGCTGGTTCTGAGAGGCCCCCAAATTGATTGCCTTCTAACTCTGTAATCTTTTCTCTATAATGCACTAACAGAATTTTACTAGTTACAGATTGTGAAAAAGAAGTGCTTTTTAGGGGGCACCTGGGTGGCTCAGTCATTAAGCATCTGCCTTTGGCTCAGGTCATGATCCCAGGACGCTGGGCTCGAGCCCCACATCGGAGCCCCACATCTGGCTCCCTGCTCAGCAGGTAGCCTGCTTCTCCCTCTCCAGTTCCCCCTGCTTATGTTCCTTCGCTCACTTTCTGTCATAAATAAATAAAATCTTAAAAAAAAAAAAGAAAAAGAAAAAGAACTTTTGTTTTAAGTCTGCTAGGTCTGGGTTTGAATCCCAGCTCTGCTCTTAGAAGCTCTGTGACTCAGGACAGCAACAGGCCTCTGGTTGTCTATTTCCTTCTGTATAAAACAGGGACATCACTGACTTTATGAGGCTGTTGCAAAGATTTGTAATAGCATATGCAAATCGACTGGCTTATAATAGATGCTCTGCACACAGAAACAATAGATTAGAAACACGTGTTTTCCCACTAACCCACACACATTGCAACAAAGCGTAAAAAGAAGAACTACTTTATAGGCTAAGTATCCTAGTTCAGATTCCCTGGCAGGCCTGGGACATCTGGACCAGAGATAATTGGCTTGCACAGGTGAAAATAAATATACCCGACTCTTCAAGGAGAGGAAAGAAAAGCAGCTTGGAGGATTCATTAAAAGCTCAGATTTTTGACAGATTATAGTACATATTACTTAGAACAGACTTAATGGATGGCAATTAACAATACATAAAGCTCTATGAAAACTCCATGGCATCACGTTTACTCACTTAACAAGCCCCCGAATGCCACTACCGGATCTGGTCCCTTAAAGATTCAGAAAAAACTTTAAAATGGACAGTTCCTGTAAGCAAAGAGATTATGGGATAGAAAATATAACAAAGAGGAAAGCACTGAATAATTTGAAAACCAAGAAAATAAAGTCAAAAAGTAGAATTTAAAGACAAAAAATTGGTTGAAATAGATTGCATTTTAAATAATGACAAGGTTCTGGACCTATAAATAGAAAATGGCAACTCTTCACCTCTCAATTTGGGGTTTAACAGGTCTTCATGGATTAAATGACCGCCGTGAAGCAGCTAACTCAAATCTGTAAGATGTTACCAAATTTACAGTTGGAAAACCAACTATGTGTGGGTGAAAGTCTGTAGTCCAATTACACTACTGCTCTTTTCCAGAGGATGGTGGATAAAGAAGAAGAGTTTATCACCCCATAAAATGTGCATTTGTAATCTTAAATGCTGTAGCTTATATTTTAATGAGACAGTGGTCTACAGCTGGCCAGTAGCTTCTTAACCATGGTCAAAACCCAGGACTTCAGTCCACAAATTGTTAGTTTTCTTGCTTTTTTAAAAAGCAAGCAGCCTTTCCTATCAGCTGAATTATTTTCCAAGAAATGATAAACATTCCGAAGATAAAACAGAACTGAGGGGTGAAGAGAACAAAGCATTTACATTAAGAAAAGAGGACTATACACTTCATAAATCAGCTCTTATCTACAAAGTCTGCGTTTTCTTTAAAACACGGATTACACCAATAAGCTCTTTGGCCTAAAAGTTGCAGCAATGAGCATTTGGAAATACTGTTACAAGGTCCTCTGCTAATTTTGAACTGTTAATTGTAGCTCACCTTCCTCATTTCATTCTATGCCCCTAATACCAGTTCATAGAATGTGGAATTTCTGAAATGCCTATCATTCTCTGTAAAGTCTCTTAGGACTTCTTCAGGCATAAATCCTGCTTAAAGAAAGCTTGATTATTTGTCCTCAAATTTAAGTAGAATAAATATCTGACACATTTAAATTGTAGACTACTTCAGCCATGAAAAAGCATGAGGTGAATTATGAGCAATGACTGAGAATAAGCTCTAAGTTCCACCATTAAGTGAAAAAGGCAAGTTGCAAGATATAGAGAGTGTGGTACAAGAAAAATGTGCTTGGGTGTGCGTGCGCACATGGGTGTGTGTGTGTGCGTGTAGGAGCTTCGAGAAATTAATTTGGGAAAGGTGGTGGAATTTTGAAATAGGTTAAAAATTACCTATTTCAGAATCATATGAATCTTTTGTAATTGTAATACATTTATGTATTAAAAGTAAAACAGGGGGCGCCTGGGTGGTTCAGTGGGTTAAAGCCTCTGCCTTCAGCTCAGGTCATGATCCCAGGGTCCTGGGATCGAGCCCCACATCGGGCTCTCTGCTTAGCAGGGAGCCTGCTTCCTCCTCTATCTCTCTCTCTCTGCCTGCCTCTCTGTCTACTTGTGATCTCTGTCTGCTAAATAAATAAATAAAATCTTTAAAAAAAAAAAAAGTAAAACAGAAGTTATTTCCATGAATGCTGTGACCTGCTTAAATTTACAGAAAATAATGCTGTATGAATGTTCTGAAATAAAATCTTTTGATTCCAACTGGTAAGAATGAATCAAGGAATAGTATTCTATCCCCAATTTCTTCAGAATTAGAAATTCTGAAAAATTATGTGCATCACATTATACCCCTTATAATGCTGAACCTATCTTAGCCTTCGAAACACACAACTGTTTGACCATCTCTGGTCCAGTATTCTTTGTTTCTATATGTTCCAGGGTGCTTTTCCTTCATTCAAGTCATTAGGGGGAAAATCCCTAAATATTACTTGTTCAACAAAGCATTTAAACAAAAGCTTTGATTGGCACCAAGTTCTAACATCATCCGCTGACCTTCGTGGTCTCAGCGACTCGATCACAAACAAAACCAGTGCAGACGGCCCACACACTCAGCAGCCTAAACGGACACAACTCATCTAATCACCAACACCTTTGAACTGAAAGCTTTTTAAAACAACAGCATAAGCCACCTACCCTGACAATCTGTCCCTTGACAGGCTTCCTAGAAGCCATTCCTCATCAGCTCCAGCCCCATGCACAACCCCCTGCCCTGTTCAGCTACTTCTAGAACTAACTCTTCTGTTTTGGAGAAAACCATTCTGTATGGCCTCACAGTTCTGGGCTTTCCCCTCTAGCCGTACCCATGCTCCCAGAAACTTCTTCAACTTGTTATCCTTAAATAAGTGAGATTCACATCAACTTGATTAATTCCTTTATAGAAAAGTGAAACATTCTCATTATAAATAAAAATTCAAAACAGGTGCAGAAGATACAGATATACTCTTATTTACCTGAATGGTACATCATGCCTGCTTTCCAGAATTAGACATTCTATTAACAGTCTGGGAAAATCTTTCTGCTAATCTTACCAATAAGTGAGTTTTCAAACACCAACAGGATGATTCAGTAGACTGATGAACTTCAGAAAACTCTATATGGCTTCAGAAAACAAGAATACCAAAGTTTGCTAAATATGGGTCTCTGTAAAAAATCTTTACTTTAAGGCCTTATTCAGAAATAAGACCCTGGTTCAGCCAACTTACATGCTTCTAAATTACAGCACCTCCTTAAAAATGTAATCCAAGCAAGCACTGCCAATGTCGGTTTAAGTAAAATTACTGTCCAAGTGAAACTGTGTCCAAATGCAATCTGATGGGGCTGTCATTTGGCAAAGGGAACTTACTGTGGCCAAGAAACAAAATAGGGTAGGTATCCTTCTCCTGTCTTTCCATGGTATCCATACAGGTTCCATTACAGCATTCTTCAAATTATACTGAATGTTCGTTCAGTTCAACAGTTCTTTCTAAACATTCTCCAAAAATGGAGCACGTGCCAGGTATTGTACCATACCCTGAAAACCTAAAATTATAATACCCACTCCCTGGGCTAGAGGAGCAAAAGCTACAGGGAGGGGGCCACGAGGCACTCACACAGCATTGCAACACAGTGTAGTAGATATTAAAGGCATGTGCTGTGTACATTAGAGACAGAAAAAACAGACCCATTTCTGTTCTGCCATTACAGTTTTTTTTTTCTTTCAGTCTGTAAATTCTTTATTTCTAACATAGTGCCGGACACTTGGTGGAATTTTCATGCTTACCATGTGAACTAACATGGTTGCCATTTAAAAACTCAATTCCTTTATATTTAAAAATTCACCTGGATGCCTAGTAGGAGATCGCTTGCACATACCCTGTAAATATCTTTAATACAGAAAGAAAAGCCATGGTTGCTGGAAGGGACTGCAAATCTTACTGGAAGAACAAATAATGCAACACCTGAAAACAATCATCATTGAGAACGTAAGTACCGAAGCATGGCTGGGAATATATGTCACAGAAGTTGGAACATCAGCTGAGCAGGTTTGAGAGAGACAGTGGGAAGAGTCGGGCTTTGGCCAGCGT